GTCACACATTTTTTGCTTTTTCTCTTATATATATATATTTTTTTAATATATAAGAGAGAGAGAGAGAGATAGAAATATCAATGATGAGAGAGAATCACTGATTGGCTGCTTCCTGCACACCCCACACTGGGGATAGAGCTCACAAACCAAGCATGTGCCCCGACTGGGAATCGAACTGTGACCTCCTGGTTCATAGGTCGACATTCAACCACTGTGCCACACTGGCTGGGCCGTCACAAATTTTTTTCAAAATCAAAATGTCAAGTCCTGACCAATGTAGCTCAGTTGGTTGGAGCTCAGTTGGACCAACCAACTGAGCCACACTGGCCAGAGCTGTTTCATATGTTTAAGAGTATACATGCAGCACAGTATTCATTAGAATAAACTAGACTGATTCATTTACAAAACTAGCACTCTTAGAAACATCTTTCATACACATGTCTTAGGCACATGTCTTTGAACAGGCTCTAAATAGCCTAAGACAACTATTTTTAAGTCTTGGCTATTCTTCTGACAATTATTTTCTTATCACTAAATAGTATGTGCATTTTGTTATTTCTTAGTTGACATTTTAGCCATTATCTATTGGTGACTTCTTAGAATAAATGAATAAATATCTCTTGCTCTTTCTCCTGCTCATCCAATCAAAAAGTACATTTTAAATCAATGTTTCCTAAATAACTTATTCCTTGCAGAGGCAACGTACATAACATGATTTCTTGTTTGGACAGTCTTTTGTTTTACCTGGAGTTAATTGGTCACTTGTTTTTTCACTTGCATATTTTGCTATATATATTTTCTTAATTGTTCTTGAGTGCTTTTTCCTGTAGGAACATTCTTTCTGGAGTTCTCCCAGTTTCTTTCTTAGTGTGGATTGTTTTCTCTCTGCCTGCTGTACAGTGGCCCTGTTACAGGACAGGGGATCTGGCCCTGAGCTGGTTTGCCAAGGGCCGGCAGGTAGTGTGTGGGTCCTTGACTTTGTGCAGGAAAGATTTCATAAGACAAGTCCAAGTGACTTTGAGGGTACATTTATTAAAGTTGGGGACAGTGAAACAAGGAAGGCCTTAGCATAGAAGCAGCAACAGGAGAGCCTAGGTTGGGCTGCTTTCGCTCACTGGGAAGTCAGAGAAAAGAGCCCTGGAGATAGGGTCAGGGCATTAGTACAGGGCTAGCTGCTGCTGCTTCCCTAGTTACAAGTCTTGAGGGGTCCCTGAGAGTTTAGGAGACGCGTGTTTGTGGGGGAAGAAGATGGGCCAGAGCAAAGGCATGGGTGTGCTCCCAGGAGGGAAAGTGAGCACTGGGTTTTTTGTCTTTAGGGTTTTTATCTCTCCCTTGCAAGTGGGAATCTTAGGGAAGGTCTCAAGGGAGGCTTTCAGCAGAATATTCATCAGTTTTCCAGGTGTGCTCTTTCAGGCTCATGGGCTCTACTGATTGGTCTGCACCAGAGCTGGGGGTCATTGGTCATTGCAGCTGGTCCTAGAGTCGCCCACCTGGTTCTGCTATTTTTCTGGGCCTAGAGTTGAAATACAACTGAGGCCTAGATGTTATCCCTAGGGAGGTATCTGGCTGTAAATGCTCGGCCAGTTTGTTAAGCTGTCTCATTTTCCCCATCCCACTTGCCAAGGAGTTTTCATAGCTTCGTACTATCCTGCCTCACTCTATACCTCCTAATAACTGTGTGAGCTCAGACAGTTAACTTCCATTTCCCAATTTATCAAATAGAGATAATAAATACCACCCCACCAAGTTGCTGTGAGAATTAAATGAAACAGGATATGTCTGTCACAGAGCACTGTGCCAGGCACCAGAAAACACTCGATGCATTATTGTTCAAGCCGACCTCAGCAGCAATAGTAGATTTATAAAGTTTCTTTCGGTTCTAAGAGCCCTTAACAGTTCTGTGACGATGATTTTAATTTTTAAAACCATTAAACTGAATGAGAAAGTCAATCAAATGAGTTTTTCAGATAAAGGCTTATTCTGGCCTAAAGATTAGTGCATTTATCTCAAGAACAAGCACGTCTCCCACTGCTGGGATCGAAGGAGTTTGCTCTCTGAGTTATAGATTTGTGGCTCTAAACCAAACCCATGAGTCTGCTCTGGGAATGCATGTGTAGGACAGACATGAATCACAGCCCTGGGCTACTTCTTTACCTTAGAATATTTTAGTAATCTTTTCACCTTGTTGAAGGACAGGATGTTCCAAATCAGTGAATCATTTGTATACATAAAATGGAATGGATGAGGTGATATCAATGAAAATGGTGATCTCCATAATCCCCCCAAATCTTCTCCTCCATAAAAGCAATGAGTACAAAGGCAAAATTTGTCAGAATCAATTGCCTTGTGCCATTTCCCAAACCAGGCCGCTTATCTTGCAGGATGCCTAACCTAACTTGTTAATAAATTGTTTTAATTGCATTTCTCTTTACTAAGAGTATAAACACATCCTTATTAACTCATGGCATCTATTTAAAATGTGTAATTCAAAGGAAATACAATACCACCCAGTGGGGGAAAAACTGGTGTCTCAACTGCTTGCTGCCAAAGCCGACTGCACAATGCATTTATAACTATCTCCTTCCCCACACACATACACACCTGTACACACATGTACACACAGAGAGAGCCAAGAGAAGAGACAATGGCCAACAGAGATAACATATTTTCGAAGGTGTGAAGCAGTTAGGAGGAATAGAACCTGACGTGGAGCAGGCTGATTTGCTCCACAAAACCTAAGAGAAGCTCAGGAATTTTAGGCATCAGGCACCTGTGAGATGGAGATGAGAGTGGAGCTGAAAACAGGATTTGTTGACCGTCTTCTCCCAAGTCCCTCTACCTCATCCTCAGCAGTCAGGTAGCTACCCATCCCACATCCCTGTAGGAAACAGGAGGTTTCATTTATGGGGAGACTGTGCCAGAGATCTGGACTCAGAGCCCCAGGCACTGTGAGGACAGGGGCCTTTACTGAAGACAGGAATTGAGTGAACGAAACCTTACAAATGGTGAGAACTGGCAATTGGCTTACACCTTGAAGCAACTGATGGGTCCAAGAGAAAAGGCCTACAGATATAAGCAATTTGGTCTACCAAAATTAAAAGCCAGGTCCTCATCACATCCATCTACTGTGAAATCCACCTGGAAACAATCCCCACCTTATTAGTTTTTGGTGGTTGCTGCAACAAATTACCATCTATCTGGTGGCTTAAAACAACAGAATTTTATTCTCTCAAAGTTCTGGAGGCCAGATATCCAAAATCAGTTTCCCTGGGCCAAAGGCAAGGTGTGGCAGGGCCTTGTTACCTCTGGAGACTCCAGGGGAGAATCCATTCTCTGCCTCTTCTAGTTTCTGGTGGTGGCTGCCTTCCTTGGCTTGTAGCCACATCACGCCAATCTCTGCCTCCATGGTCACATTGCTTTCTTCTCTTTCCTCAAATCTCCCTCTGCCTACCTTTTATAAGGATACTTGTGATTGCATTTAGGGCCCACGAGATAATCAGGATAATTTCTCCATCTCAAGATCCTTAACATAATATATCTGCAAAGTTTCTGCCCTATAAGGTAATATTCACAGATTCTGGGGATTTGGACATCTTTGAGAGCCATTATTTAGTCCATTACACCACCCACATAAAGCAAGTTTTCAATCAGCCTTTTAGTTTCTCATACTTCAGTGTTAGTGACATCAAAACTTTGTTACCTTTGTTGGATATCTGAGTTTCTTGCTTTATGAATTATCTATTTGTGGCTTTATCTGTTTTACAATCTACTAGTGTTTTTCCCAGAGATTAAGAGAATTTTAGATAAGGTCACCAGTAACTCTTTATCTGCCATGCATGTTGAACATAACTTCTAATTGGCATTTACCTATTAACTTGTTTACAGTTTGTTTTCTAAAATATATTAAAACGTTCTATAATCTGACATATTTCTTTTCCTTTGTACTTCATCCATGCTATTATGTCAGAAAATCTGCTTTATTCTAAAATTAGATATATGCTAATATATTTTCTCCTGGTTTTATGGTTTCAAAATTATTTAATTATTTAATCAATATGGAATTTATTTTAATATGTGGTAGAAAGACTCTAACATGTTTTTTCCAAGTCATTTAACACAAAATGTCTCTTCCTTTCCCTATGGATTTCTCCTATCATCTTTCTCAAATATATGTCTTCTATATCCTAGTGTCTGTTTCTGAGCTCGGTTCAGTTATCTTAATTACTTTTTCAGATGTTTTCTGTATGTCTCTTCCCCCTACCCCCAAGTTTCTAGTTACAAATAAATAACTATAGTCCATCACATTGTTTCAAAACAATTTCATATTTTCTTATCTTTCTAAAGTTTTTATAATTATTTATTTTTTGGCATTCTACTGGTTACTTATCTAAAAGAGTTCATTTTTATCATAATTCATGTATATGTATTTGGAAATTTTTAGAACAAGAAAACATTTTCACATTTTTTAAAGAAAAGAACCTAGAGATACTTTTTCTTTTTGTTGCTAATAGAATGAGCTTTATTACTTAGTTAACTCAACAAATACTAGGTGTCAGTCATTTTTCTAGGTACTAAGTATACAGGACAAAAACAAACAACTATCCCCACCTTCATGAAACTTACATTCTAGAAAGGGAGACAGATAAAAACAGGATAGGTCAAACTTTAATGTAGTCAGTGTACCAGCCAGTGATGAGTGCTATGGAGAAAAGTAAATAGAGGAAGGAGACAGGAAATTCTGACCAGGAGACTGGGGATGACCTCACTGAGGTGATGTGAGTGAAGATCTAAAAAAGTAAATTGACACAAATAGCTAACTTACATTTGAAATCCCTAGCATTGCTTCGGATATACTTTATGTATATTTAAAATCAATGATATAATCATTCATTGCTTATCTACTCCAATGAGCAAAATGTTAATCTTGATATATCAAAAGGAATCATTGCATATTTTAAACATCAAATGCACCATGAGTTAAATGTCTACAATGTACTTACAGGAATGAAGTAGGCTGATGGAAATCTTTGAACTGTAGAACGAAATACGAAGCTCCTATATTAAAAAAATAGATATGATTTCCTAAATTTATTTTTTAATGTGAGGATCTTTGTTAATTTATTCCCTATCTCTCATTAAATATTTAAGAATGCTAATCATAATGGGCATAAATGAGGTTTAAAAGCCATTAGTATTGATTGTTAAGTCTATATATAGAAAGGCATTAGTAAATGATTAAAGGTAACTTAATAAGTGTATAATTACCTGGAAGGATACTTGGGAACTGGCGCAGGAAGTACATTGTATTGTCCTGGTGAAAGCTTAACTGACTATACAGAATGGACAGGACACCAATAATAGATTAATATAGGTCTTAAACTCACTTCGTCTTATTATCTGTCATTTATTTTATGAGCATACAACATTATGTAATTTATTCTTTATTTTAACAGTGGAAATGGCATATTTTCAAAGGTGGAGCTTCAAAACATTCCACAGATGTTCACATTTCAAAAACTCTTAGAACGAATCAATAAATTTAGTCAAGTTGCAGGTATCTGAACAAGAAATTAAGAAAACAATCTCATTTGCAATAGAATCAAACACAATAAAACACTAAGAGATAAATTTAACTAAGGCAATGAAAGATTTGTACACTGAAAACTATAAGAAAGAAATTGAAGCCCAGCCAGTGTGGCCCAGTGGTTGAGTATCAACTCAGGAACAAAATATTGTTGGTTCAATTCCTGGTTAGGGCAAATGCCCAGGTTGCAGCTCGATCCCCAGTGAGGGTGCGGCCAGGAGGCAGTCAATTGATGATGTTCCTCTCTCATCAATGTTTCTCTCCCTTCCTCTTTCTAAAAAAATCAATAAAAACATATTTAAAAAAAGAAATAGATACAAATAAATGGAAAGATATACCCATGCTTATGGATGAGAAGAATTACTACTACTCAAAGCAATGTATAAACTCAATAGCATCCCTATAAAAATTCCAATAGCACCCAATCAGTGTGGCTCAGTGCTTGAGCATCAACTCATGAACCAGGAAGTCACCGTTCGATTCCCAGTCAGGGCACATGCCTAGGTTGTGGGCTCGATCCCCAGTGTGGGGGGTGCAAGAGGCAGCCAATCAATGATTCTCATCATTGATGTTTTTATCTCTCTCTCCCTCTCTCTTCCTCTCTGAAATCAATAAAAATATATTTTAAAAAATTCCAATAGCATGTTTCACAGATACAGAAAAACAATCCTAAAAATTTATATGGAACCACAAAAGAGCTTAAAGTCAAAGCAATCTTGAGAAAGAAAAGAAAAAAGCTGAAGGCATCGCATTTCCTGATTTCAAACTATATTACAAAACTATAATCATAAAAACAGTATGGTATTAGCATAAAAACAAATACATAGACCAATGCAACAGATTGAAAGCTCCCCCCACCCCCAAAGAAACATCCATGCATACACAATCAACTTATATTGGCAAGGGCACCGAGAATTCACCATGTGGGAAAGAATAGTCTCTTCAATAAATTGTATTGGGAAAACAGGATATCCTCATGTAAAAGAATAAAATTAAACCCCTATCTTATATCACTCATAAAAATTGACTCAAGAAGGACTGAATACTTAAGTGTAAAACTTGAAGCCACTAAACTCCTAGAAGAAAACATAGGGAAAACTCTTTGACATTAGTCTTAGCAATAATTTTTTTTAATATGACACTAAAAAGAGGAAAATAATGCTAATGCATCAAAAGCAAAAATAAAGCAGTAGGAAGACATCAAACTGAAAAGCTTCTGCATAGCCAAGCTTCTGCATAAACAATCAACAAAGTAAAAAGGCAACATAACCAATGGGAGAAAGTATTTACAAACCATGCATCTGATAAGGTTTTAATGTCTAAAATATATAAGGAACTCAAACAACCCAATAACCAAAAAATAATCCGATTAAATTGGGCAAAAGACCTGAATAGATATTTTTTTCAAAGAAAACATACAAATACGCAACAGTTACATGAGAAGATGCTGAAACACCACTAATCATCAAGGAATGCAAATCAAAACCACAATGTGATGTCACCTCACAACTGTTAGGATGGCTATTATAAAAAAGACAAGCGATAACTAGTATTGGTGAGGGTGTAGAGAAAAGGGAACCCTTGTGCACTGTTGGTGGAAATGTAAAATGGTACAGACATTATGAAAAAAAGGTTCCTTGAAATATTAAAACTAGAACTACCATACGATCTTGCAATTCCACTTCGGAGTATATATCCAAAGGAAACAAAATCAGTATCTGGAAGAGACATCTGAACTCCCACGCTCAGTGCAGCATTATTCACAATGGCTAAGCTATGTAAACAACCTAAGTGTCCCTTGATGCATGAATGGAAAAGAAAATGTGATATATAAATAACTGAAAAATATATTTCGATAATTCAGCATAAAAAAGGAAGGAAATCCTGCCTTTTGCAATAACATGCATAATGCTAAGTGAAATAAGCCAGACAGAGAAAGACAAATACTGTTTTGTATCACTTATATGTGGAATCCAGAAAGCCTGTACTAGAAAGCCTGTACTCGTGACTAGGAAGCCTGTACTCCTGAAGGAATAGAATGGTGGTTGCCTGCTGGGGGTGAGGGGGAGTTGGTGCGGGTGGGGGGGAGGGGGCAGAATGGTGGTTGCCCGGGGCTGGGGTTGAGATGGGGGGTTGGTACAAAATTTCAGTTATAAGCTAAATAAGTTCTGGGGATACAAGGCACAGCATGGTAACAATAGTTAATAATACTGTATTCGTATACTTGAAACTTGCTAAGAGAATAGAGCTTATATGTTCTCATCCATACACATAAAGATAACAATGTTAGGTGATGGATATGGTAATCAACTTGATTGTGGCAACCATTTCACAATATATTCACAATCAAATCATCATGTTGTAACCTTCAAATACATATAATTTTGTCAATTATACATCTGTAAAACTGGGGGGAGATAAATAAACCCAACTGGGTGATCTGAAGGTGGTAAAGACAGAGAGATTTGAGGGTTTTAAGGAAGAGGAACTTCCTAGAGGGGAGCCAGGAAGGTATTCTAAGGAGAAACATTGCAGAAGAGACTGTCTCTCTGCCCATTGTCAAACTTCTGCAAAACTACCTGGTAGCTCCATCATCCCTGGGTTATGGATTTTAGCTCAGAGGTGCATGAGTAAGGGAGTAGAAGGACCTGGTAAGCACAGAGCTTGGGATATGTAAAGGAAGGGAAGGAGAGGAGGAAGCCGAATGAGAAGCCTGAAAGACTGACCCAACCTCCAGAACTCCTATGGAAGGAGCTGGTAGGAAGCAATTATATTATAAAATCCTAGGAAGAATCCTTTCCAAAGTGAGCCATCTACTCCCTACCCTCTATTATTTTAAAATCAGATTTTAAAATGCAATGCTGCCTTTTTAAATTTTATCTTTAAATCTTTATTGTTGAAAGTATTACATATGTCCCCACTGACCTCTTCCAGCTTGCCCCCGCTGCCCATCCCCTCCACCCCTCACCCCCACCCCAGGCCTTCAGAATAAGGCATCCATATGCTGGCATTCTATGCCCCATGGAAGCTCAGATAATACAGCTCATCTTGTTGCTTTCATTCACATATTAGTGCCCATTTTGAGTGTATAGGCAGATGTTGTTGGTACACTGACAATAGCAGTAAATACAAATTTTATGATAAAATGCACACATTGTCCTGATGCACCTGTGCCTTGTTCATTGTTCACCTGACATTAAATAAACACCCAGGAAACAAGGGTATTATTTATTATTCTAATGTGGAAACAGGAAAATGTATTTTAAGCAGGGGGCTTTGGCGGCTGCAACATCCTATTTTTTGACTTTGATGATGGTTATATGGGCGTTTGCTTTCTATTTACTTTAAATAATGCATGTATCCTTTATATGCTTGCTCTCGCATGCTCGCTTACTCTCTTATGTACATATACACACATACTCAGAAGAAGAAAGAGAATTGAAAAGTGAAGAAGAAGAAAAACACCCTTAAACAGCTGTTTATCTATGTATACTCAGCAATCACATAGAGTTTCTATAAAAAAAGTACTTATGGAAAAACTCAGGCAGTACTAGATTAGAAAGGAATATTGGTTCCCTGTAACTTCTGTATTTGTCTTACTTTACTTGGCTTGGCCATTCTTTGCTATTTAATATTACTGAGAGAGGGCTTTTTTTCCATAAAGTTGTGAATAGTCAGCTGCCTTAGGTAAAAGATTGTTTCTCTGCACATTATTGCAAACTATTCTGAGTGGCTCCACTGTCCTTGGAGATTTTTAATATACATATGTATTTTCCTAATTCCTACAGATGCATGTCACTTCTTCATTTGTAATGAGGCACAAAGAGTCTAGAAAATGTGCTCATAAAAATACCTGATTCTAGTTAATGTTTCAGTCCGTGTAGATTAGGCACTCAGAAATCTTGCAATAGCTTGTAGCCTTACAATATGACAGGATGATATTAGTGTGGATACTTCATCAGTTCTGTTGTACCAACACCATCAAGGTCAGAATAAGTGAAAAAATCCAACCCTACTTATTAGGCTCTTGGTATGACAACATTTTGAGAACCAAACCCATAAATAGGTGGGACAGAAGGAAACAGATTTTTTTCAATGTGTTCAAGCCCTGTCGGAATGATCATAAGGTGAATGCAGCCGAAGGGCTGGCAGGTGCAATACTTTGTAGGTACTATTGGCAGAAATCCAAGTGTATCTTTTCTCTGAGAAGTAAAGTCTTTTGTGTCGTATGGAAGTATCACTGACTCACTGCTCAGACTTTTTTATGGAATGAGAGATAAACAATATAGGACCTTCTCAAAAAGAAGCCTGCTTAATGATACCAATTATATTGTTCTTTTCATTTTTTTAGGTTATCCAATATCTGATTTTATTCAGTCTTCCATATAGACAAAATCATATACTGTGCAACCTTGTAGAGTCACTTCAGACTATTTGGTTTATCCTCGGAGATATTCTATTCAAACACTGCTATGTACATCCTTGGAGCTGAGATGGTGAGCTTGATCTCAGCGGAAAAGACTTAAGCAGGAAAGAGTTAAGGAGGCAAGGCAAACAAAACTGGAAATAAAGCAGATAACACTGATATTATTTGTAAACTTACCAGTCCCTTAGAGTCTTTATCAGCTCCAAATGAACTAAGAATTACAGTGGGTCCCAATCCCTGAGATAATTTTCTGTAACCATCTTTCAAAGTCCATTTTTATTTGCCACTTTCTTGACATATTTGCATGTGACACTTGTTCTTTGAAAATCAGTTTCAAAAATATCTGCTAAATGAGCCCATTTTTAGGGTCACTTTTTTAATTTAAATGGTGTTGGTACAATGAATTGCTCCATCTTACCTATGTTTTGCTCTTTATTATCTCAACATTTAAGTCTTGAGTTCCTTACAGTAGCACTTGCCAGCCCAGTTAATACCTTGCTCAATGAAAAACCATCCTGTTGAAAATCCCTTTGGTGGTACCGGGGAGCACTTTCAGATTAACATGATTTCAGAGATATCTTTATCACAGCTATAAACACAGCTAACAAAGGTCAATGAGCTGGCAAGATCCGGGCGCAAAGACCCTGAGATGGGAGTGGCCAAGTCAGGAAGCTTCCAAGAGGCCCGTCGGGCAGAAAGAGAGGGAGAGGGAGGAGTAAAAGAGGTCTGGAATAAAGCCAGTGACCAACAGAACTGCTGACTCTGAGAACGACCACTCAGAGGTCACACCCACTATTGCAATGACTTAAACCCAGTGGTTCCCAATCAGGAGGGGGGTGCCTCCCTGGGGGATATTTGGCAATGTCTGGAGGCAGTTTTGGTTGTTACAACTGAGAGGGGGACTGCTATTGGCATCTAATTAGCTAATGGCATCAATTATCCAGGAATGCTGCTAAACATGCTACAAAGCATAGAACAGTTCCCCACAACAAAGAATTATTCCTTCCAAAACGTCAATCGCACCAAAGTTGAGAAACCCTGAATTAGACATATAAGTGGAGAAGTTAAAAAAAAAAAAAAGCAGTTGGATATACAAGTCTGGAATTCAAGAGAGAAGTCTGGGCAGGAGATATAATTTGGAGATCATAAAGAGATGGTGTTCAAAGACTAAAATGAGATCACCAAGGGAGTGAGTGTAGAGGGACAAGTGTAGAGGAGGAAGAGGTCTGGAGGCCTGGGCACTCCCACAAGAGGTCAGGGAGAAGAGGCTGACCTGAAAAAAAGGCTGAGAAGAAAAAATAAGAAGGAGGATTGAGGTGGAGGTGTCAGGGATTTGGAAAGGAGAGATGTGAAATAAAGCCACCCAGGAGAGGGGGAGGTAAACAGACTAGGGAAGTCTATCCAGTGCCCACGTGAGGTGAAGACTATAAAATGAGGCCAGTCATTCCGAAACATGGATGCAGGTACAAAGTCCCCAGAGAGTTAGATTACCCAGGTTTGTGGCTTTGACAAACAAGAGATACGCCATCAGGAGCAAGGTAATTGAGGGCGTATGCTGAGAGTAACTCTGATGACTATGGGATTTAAGCTTTGCAAGTAGGATCAATGGATTATAGATTGTGGGGAACAGAAAAATTGGCTGGGACAGTAGAGTGAGTGAGGCTGAACATTAGGAGTGGTCAGAGTGGGGTGCATGCAGTTGAGATTATGCAGGGTTGAAATTATTGGTCTTGAAAAAATCCAAGGAGTGAGTAGCTGAGGTAGAGGAGAGTTCAAGAAACTGAGAAGGGAGATTGTTGGAAGGTCATCTGCATGTGTACTGAAATGATGACAGTAGTGGCAAGGGTGGCAGGGAGAGAAGGGAGTTAAAATCATCCAGAAATAAGTGAGAGTAACCCTGGGGTTAGTGGATGACAGCAACACTGGGGAGAAGCAGGTCACAAGCTGTGTATATGGAGAGAGATGGTCCCACTTTTGTATGTATAATTCTACAATAAAAATGTATTAATTCTCTGATAAGAAAAATTTATTTTAAAAAATTTAGGGCCATCTCAAATACTCTTTTTTATCAATTAAATTTATTGGAGTGACATTGATTAAATGGATTATATAGGTTTCAAGTGTAGATTTCTATGATATATAATCTGTATATTGTATATACACCCATAGACAAATAATCTTCTGTCCCCATATATTTGGCCCCCTTTATCCTTTACTACCCCCGACCCCCTTATACACACACACATTCAAATATATCTATAATAATAAAAGCATAATATGCAAATTGGCTTAATGGCCAAACAGCAGAACAACCGTCTGGACGACCACACTATGACACCCACTGGCACCAGGCCCACCAAGGAGGGTGTGATGTGATTGGTAGGGGGGGGCCTGCCATTGCCCCATGATCGCCCCTCAGAGGCAGGCCCTGGCTACCTGGCCAGCGGTTCTGCGGTAGGTGGGCGGGGCCTCCCTCTGCAGGGTGATTAATCTCGGGGCTCCCAGACTGCGAGAGGGCATAGGCCAGGCTGAAAGCCCCCCTCCCCCACAGTGCATGAATTTCGTGCACCGGGCCTCTAGTATATGATAGGATTCTTTGATACAGGTTCTCTAGTTGAGTTACATGCTTTCGAACAAAAATAGTAAAAACTTTCTTAAAAATAATAAACAGCCTTAATGAGGTATAAAGTGAATATTCTATTAAAAATTCTGAAGCTTGATAGAATATTGTTCTATCTTCATAAGTAATAGTAATATATTCTATATCTACCTCAAATTATTCGAATTATTATTTTACTGAATTCTGCCATTAAAAAACCAGAATTATGAGTTTGACTGGCGAGTAAACAATGTTACATCTGGGTAGCTCTCCTTCTGTGAACACACTGTCATAGACCTTTGAAACAGAAAATTAGGAAAACATGTAATTCTCCCAGTTTCTGGAGCTCAATCCTTTATGGGAGGTGGGGAAAGATAGGAGAAAGAAAAGAAACAGGAAAAATATGTTTTCAGAAGGTTTTGTCCACCCCTGTGGGTAAGCCAAATTCTTTTGGTCTTTTAAAGCCTTAAATTTTGCCTAATACCAACCTTCTGTGTTTTCTCTTCAACAATGAGCCTTGGCCTACCCTCAGAAACCCCTAAAAGCAAGACAAGATGAAGCAGAACGGAAGTAAATGGTGGTGGAGAATAAGAAAGAATGGTTTTGCCCTGGATGTAGTCAGAATTATTTCACATGAAGCATGGTGACCTGATACCAAGCCATAAAAGACTAAGTAAAATTTAGTGTTTGTATTCATCCACTGAAGTGAATAGGATAAGACTTACCCAGTGAACTTTTATCGTTCTGTCCTGTTCCAAAGCTATAATTTGCAAAACAATAAGATGGGTTTACAGGTTGCGTACAACATGCACTCATCCCAGGGAAACATGCACTCATCCCTCGTTCATCCTAATAATCGCTACAACCACTGTATTTAATTCAACTTCCAGTTACAATGCATTTCTGCTCAGCAACACTCTGATAGGGTTGTGAAGACTAATACTATTACTAGCTTCCTTATAAATGGGAGATATTAAGGCCCAAAGTCCCAAGTAACAAAGTCCAAGTCACAACTCAGTCCTTGGAAGAGGCCTTGACAGTGCTGTGCCCCTCCCTGGAGACACAGCTCTTGGGTTCCACCCATCCAAA